CTTCACAGAATAAACTTCCGGTCTCTTGAGGGGTCGGGGAGAAATAGTTATTGTCTACACAAGATGGGGTGGGAATCTGGGTCTCTCAATAATATTTTTAATTAAGCAAGATCTCAGTCCCTCTTTACCCCCGCCTCCAAGACTTCTGGTGTCCTGAGTCCCTGACATTTTTGGGATTCTGTAGGCAAAGTGACTTCCCGCTTCCTGATCGCCTCTTGCCGCCCCTTACCCTGCTTTAAGTGTGGTCTTCCTCTTCTCTACTCAGTAATTTACCATTTTTCTTCAGTCTGCTTTCTGCCTGCACGTATGGGGTTCAACTTACAGAATGTTGAACGTAATTCCATCAGAGATGGAGTATGATTTTTCCGGTTCTTGTTCTCCTTGTTATTTGGGGTCTGATCTTTCTTGGGGAGAAGGGGGTTGAAATACCTCTGTCTGCCCTCTTCACCTAGGAAGTCCTCCATTTTGCCTTAATGATTTTTTAAAATTGTGTTTGCAGAATATATAATTTCTCAAATTCCTTGTCTTTTAAAACAAGAATTACATAAATTACTCATCGAAAGTGTTATTGAATTATATTCTATAATTGCATAAGCTTCTTCTAATTGTACACTAACATACAAGACTAGAAATGAGCTTGTAATTAAGCACTCAGCACTGATACACCATAAACAATCATATTAAAATTCTTATTTGTAAAATAGAAAAAAGTAAATACAGATAACTCGAAAATAAACTGTTCCGAAATTTTGACATATATTGACAAATAGAACATATGCACCAATACTGTTAGAAATCAATACCTTATCACCTGGCCGAGATGACTGTATGTTATTTTTGGTGGGCAGGTCATTTAGTATTGACATAGTTTTTGTTTTTAATGCAAAGCGTGTTTTTCCATACTCACGGCCCTTTCCACAATATTGTTTGACAACAAGGTTTTTGTAGTATTGTTTGAGAGCATAGGTATTAATACACACTGTAAATTAGGTCTTAAAAAGTATAATTTTGCAAAGTAAGTTTGCACAATAATGAGGATTATTTATTCTACACTAGACGAGAAAGTAATAATAAACTTCTTTAAAAAAAAATAGCCTTAAAAAACGCACTTTTAAAGCCATCTTTTGTAATTTGCCCCTTAAGGGTACATTACTCAATATGCACTGTCTTAGTTTGGGCTGCTATAAAAAATCACCACAGTCTGGGTGGCTTAAACAGCAAGCATTTACTTCTCACAGTTCTGGAGGCTGGAAGACCAAGATCAAGGCGCCGGCAGATCTGATGTCTGGTGAGAGCCCCCTTCCTGGTTTCTCATGGCCATCTTCTCACTGTGTCCTCCCTCACACGTGGAGAGCAGAGGGAGGAAGCAGGCTCTTTTCTCTTCTTATCAGGGCACTGATCCCACTCATGAGGGCTCCACCCTCAGGTCCTCATCACCTCCCAAAGGCCCACCTCCTAATATCATCACATGAGGGGTTAGGAATTCAACATAGGAACTTTTGGGGGGCTGGAGAGACACAAACATTTACTCCATAACACATAATTCAGGGTCATACAGCTGCGTATATTCAAACTGAGGGAAAAAACCCTCTTGGTGTTTTTTACTTTTGAAAAGACTTTTATATTTTCCTCAGGACATTAATAGTCATTATAACCAAAATCAGAATGAGTCAATCAGAAGGTATTTCTTCTATCTATAATAATCTAATACTTCTTTGGAAGAAAGAGAAATCATATATATATATATGATTTATATATCTTACATGTTTAGAATTCTTTTTGATAACTTGTAGTAATCCTTAGGGCCCTATTAGCCTTTCTTGGCTAAATAAGCTATCTATCTATCTATAAAATATTAAACATATTTATTTCTTATATCTTTATTGCTTACATTACTATGAAAATAAAATAACCTATTAAATTTGGAATATTTTGAAAATAATACAAAAATATTGTTACACAGTATATAGAGATAGCCACCTTAAAGAAATATATGGCAGCATAATTTCCTCCCATCCTTTTCAATGCACTTTTTACATGGCTGAGATCACACTGCACAGAGTCAGAAGAGGCCCAGTTTGTTGAGCGTTTTCAAAACGCCCGGCAACCTGTTGAGTGCTTCACATACATTGTATCAACATCCTATGGCCAGGTATTTGATAGGTGGAATAACTGAGGATTAGTGAGTTTAAAAACATTGCCCAAGGCCATACAACTAGTACGTGGCCAAGCTGACTGTAACACAAGGTTGATGAATGTTAAAATCCATACTCTTAACCATCATGTTTACGCAATTTTCTTTGTTTACCATTAAACTAAATATTCACGTCATTAACAAATCATTGCAAGTATCATGTAAATGAAAAATTTCAAAGCTCCTGTACGATTAGGCCCATCTCACTGAAGCCTTGCAGTCAATGAATAATAATATTTTAAAAATCTTTGCAAATTTTAAGAGCAAGAATGGAATATCATTGTTGTTGAAGTTAAAATGTATTTAGTTACCAGAGACTTTGAATGTTTTTATATGCTTATTAGGCATTTATATTTCTAAAGAAATGATTTCTCAAATAAGCACAATGTCAACCAGAAACCTCAAAATGACTCTTGGAACAAACACAGTATTGCCTCATCGATTCTGGTTACTGGGGGAGGTAGAGTAGGTGGACGTATTGGAAGACCTTGTTGAAAAATCTGAAAATATTTAGATTCGCTCTCTTTCATTATTTCAAATCAAACTAGTTTAACAAAGTTAGTATCTATTCATTTTTGCTTGATACAGGTTGTTGTATTAATAGAGATAAGACTAATAACTAGTATTTCAATTCTTATGTGTAAATGATTTGTTTAAATATCCTAAAGATGGTAGGTTCTAAGACTTTAAAATTCTCTCCTTAAAATCTTGTTTGCATCATTAATTTTCATATCTGAAGAAAAATAGTAAAAGAAGAAGGCATTTACATCCTTTAGCAAAGAAGCAAAGATAAATGCCAATCAAACCCTTATATGAAAAATCACAAAATTACGGATTAGTGCAGTTTTAATGCATTTCCAATATCTGGTTATTCTGATTTCCTCTCTAAATACACTATTTTCACTGGAATCTATTTAATACAAGAATTAGAGCCACTGATGCATTTAGTTTGATTTATCTAGTGACAATACCTCAATTATTCTCCTAGGCAAACTATTTTCTTGAGAGTAAATCTAATTTTGGTTTAATACTCCAGGTAATTTTAATTCATTTTCTATATATCTTGACAATGGTAATTATGAAAGAAAAAAAACCCATTATGGATATATTATTATGAAATGTAGAGAAAATGTCACTTCCAAAAAGGCACAAACATGTTTAGTTGGTGTCCATGAATTATGACCTTGGAAGTTACAAGAATATGCCAGAATGATTTAGCACTGTAAGCTACAGGAGGATAAAAATACCTGCAGCTGACAGGCTGGGAGTGCTGTGATTTGAGAGGGGAGTAAACATGCAGCAATATCCTACCCCCTTACACCTTCTGCCTGGTGTGCTGGTAACATGGGCCCTGGCTTAATGGCTTGTTTTGTGGGAGAACTTTAACCTTTACCTCAACGTTTATATAAAATTTAAGCTGCACATAAATATGTATTTAATTTGAATTTGCTGGATCAGATGTCTACATTTTCCTGAATTTCCTTATTAGCATATAACTATAACAACTACCATACTCATAGTTTTCTGAACAGTTTACTTCTCTTTGTGTAGGCATGGCTTTAGATAATCAATGTAGATCATGTCTACAAAGGAAACCAACTGCATACTTTTTAGCCTGTAAAAAATAACAATAAACCCCACAAATCTGCAGTAGCCGATACTGAAGAAATGAACCTCAGTGGACAAACATCAGAAGCAGCACAGAGGGTCTGAGCTTCTGAAGCTGGACACGACTTGCACCTCGACAAGCCCACTGTGTGTCACGCGAGCACACACAGGCAGGGACGCAAGTCGGCACGGCCTCCCTGGAGACAGAGCTGACACACGTATGAACAGACCTAAATGACGCACCAGATATCTATCACGGCAGTGACTGCATTACAACAGGAGAAAAGGAACAAGGTGAATGACTGGGGAAAAGCCCTACGACGATGCTCAGCTAAGGAGTGTCTGTGTAGCACGATCTCAATAATGTTAATGACGTGTAAGTATGCATTTGCATGTGTGCATAAATATATAAAGACCTAAGGTTTCTGACAGTATTTCTCTCTCAGTAGTAGGAATATTGGTGATTCTTCTTCATATTATTATGTATTTTTCTATTTTGAGTATACAGTCCTATAAAAATCAGAAAAAATTATTTAATACAGATACAAGGAATAGCAGCAACACTAACATCTTAATGAAACTCAAATGCCACCAGAGCATACAATCTTGGGTTTATCTTAGGTCTTTTTAGTAATATCAAACAATAACAATTTGATCCGAAGGTTTTAGAAACATGACCAATACACTTTCTGTCTCTTGGAAGCTAAAAATACATGTAAGACATCAAATCCTAGCTAAAGAAAATATTATCTAAAGGCAACTCTAGTGTTTACAGTTTACTAATAAGCTCTTTTTTTCTATTATCTTCTTTGTTTTTCTTTTCTTTTATTATCTTCTAAAAAATGTAGTATAAACCAAGGAAAGTTATCTTCATTAGAATTCATTCATTCATTCATTCAATTAATAACTATTTTTAAGTACTTGGTATGTGTCAAACATTGTTTTAGGCACTGGGGATTGTGCAGTAAAGAAAATAAGTCTTGTCTGGTAGAAAATAAGCAGGTGTTATCTCTAGCAGGTAATGATGAAGTGCTAGGAATGAAATAATATTCATTAATATGCTATACTTTACAGATGGTAGAAAACAAAAGTTATCATTTCTTTGTTTAGCAAAGAACATAAAAGTATCTCCTTTATTTAAGGCGTATAATTTTTCTTATTTAGTTAATTAAAGAAATTGAAATGCTTGATTACTTACCCCAATATTAAACATCCCTGTAAAATACTCCATATTTGCTTGAATGAACCAAATGTTGCTTAAGCCTAGCTCTTCACTTCTCTTCTTAGCACGAATTAATGATAATTCCTTGTTTTCTATTAATGTAACCTAGAGTTCACCCAGGAAACAACAGTATATTCGGTAACATAATTCAGACATTAGGGCAAAGTACTATTACTGTATTTCATAGCTTTAATAATGTAGGACATATTATATTGATCCTTATCCTGCGCCAGGAAGTAAGCCAGATAACGTGGTACCAAATGAACAAGGTCCTTGAACAGCTGAAGCTTACAGATGAAGTGACAGAAGTGGAACGGACAGTGTAACACAGTGACAAGTGTTCAATGAAGCACATCTCATGTGTTATCAGAGTGCTCAACGTGATGACTAGGGAAGGGTTTAGCCATTTCATATGGAAAAGTAACACATTAACTGAGGCCTGAAAAATGAATAGAAATTCGCTGGGGGAATGAAGGAACATTTCAGGCAGAGAGAAACATGTATGAGGCCCTAGGTGAGACATATGGTGTGACTGAAGAGGCGGTGGGGCACAGTGTGTGGTGGGGATGGTGGGCTGGGGGACAGGATGTGGAGGGTGGGACGAGGCTGGAGAGGTAAAGGAGGAGATCACGTGTGGTCAAGAAGGCTCAGTGGCTGCAGTGGACAGTATGAATTGTCGGGGTAGGCAGAGGGCGGGCAACCACTAGGAAGCTCTCACAGTACTCCAGGACAAGGCAGATGGGAGAGCACCACTGGTTTGGATGGAGAAAAGTGGGCAGAGTCACTTTCATTACTATCATTCCTATTTCTACTCTTTTATGCTTCTCTTTATCGAAAAAGCCGAATCCCTTTGCAGAAAAAAACCTGTCGGAGCCTTGGTGTCAGAGGCTTTCCAGCCTTTATTCTGGCCAAGACCTCCCTTTTCCAGGTTTAACGTCTCTAAGTATCCAGAAGAACTGTTAGGAAGGGAAAGAAGACACCACCTTCCTGATTCTGCTTCTCCAGGATCCTAATCTATGAGCTTTCTTCCTCTTACTCCAACCATGCAATTGTCGCTTTCCTTAATAAGAAGACAGACACCTGCCTGTTTCTCCCAGGATTCCTTATTTATTTTGCTCTTCATTTTCTCAGAAAGGAAAAGGATAATAACCCCGCCCCTCCGTCATTCTCTTACATGTCATCTGGCCAGTCTATGAGCTTTCCCACATATTTTTCTTCTGGAAGTAGTCACTATAATTATTATGCATCTTCCAGAGATCACAGGCAAAGACCTGCCCCAGGTCAATTTGTATTTGAAAAAAAAAAGACATCAAATTCCATATTTTCATGTTAAAAGATGGTCTCTGTGAGGAATTGATTTAATATTGCAGAAGAGTAAAAATAGCACAAATTTCTAACAAATAGTGGCAACAATTGGATAAGTTATGGTACATTTACATAAATACACATTACGTAGTCACTAAAATATGATGATATTTAAAACTATTTGCAATAGGGAAAAACATTTATGATGAGATACTGAGTGAAAGAGGTGACTAAAGTTGTATTTGCAGTTTTAGGAGCTGCAAGAATCTGCAACCATAAGCATCCACATGGACAACGACCTAATGAGAACATGCGGAGAAACCACTTGATGGCTCAGTGTGGTACATTTGTTTTTGTTTTTTTTCTTTAAAAAATACCTAGGTATTGTTGTTCTAATTTTGATACAATGGATAAAAATCAGGATACCATGGGGCTGGCCCCATGGCATAGTGGTTAAGTTTGTGCACTCTGTTTTGGTGGCCTGGGGTTCACGGGTTCAGATCCTGGGTGTGGACCTGCGTGCCACTCATCAAGCCATGCTGTGGCAGCGTCCCATATACAAAATTGAGGAAGACTGGCACAGATGTTAGCTCAGGGCCAATCTTCCTCAGCAAAAAAAAAAAAAAAAAAAAAGAGGAAGATTGGCAACAGATGTTAGCTAAGGGCCAATCTTCCTCACCAAAAAAATAAATAAATAAATAAATCAGGATACCAAGAGAACATTCTCGGCAAGTTTCAGAAGCTAGTGTTTCCAGTATAAAATTATGTTGAAAATAAACTAGTTTCATCAAAGTTATTTTATTTATCAATGGAATAGTTATTTCTTTTAAAAATTATTTTAAAATATAACCTTTTTATGAAAATTGAAAATTGTATGTAGTACTTGACTTTTTTCCTTAAGACTCCAAATATTAGAAGTTTCCTTCAAAGAAAAAAGAAAATGCCCGTGACTCCTATTGGACCTGGGTGAGTGATTACAAACACATAGAGCGGGGACAAGCCAGACACGGCTAACTGAACTGTGAGGTTTCTGGTGTTTCCTCTTAGCTGCGATTCAGACTTTACCTGGCACGAGGGCAGCATGTGGGCAAGGACAATCCCAACGTGGCCCTGAAAGAGCGGCAGAAGAAACAAGTTAACGCTGGCCCCTCAGGCTTCCGCTCACTCTGAGACAGCAATCTTGCCAAACAGAAACCTGACCTCGACTGGAATACAGTCAAGTCACAGAGTCCTGGACATGCCGAGGAGGACACAAGAGAGCTAATACCCCACCACTGCAGAAGTCCACGATCCTGTCCCCAGGCCTGGCCTGATGTGTCACCACGTAAACAAGGTTGTTCAGCTGCTGCTGCTTCCTCAGAGCTCGGTCACTGGACATCTTCCCTGGAAAGACAGAGAGGAAGAAGGTGGAGCGGTGCACGTACTGTGAGGGCGGAGAGGACCCACGTAGGACAGACCCTGCACGTAGGAGGAGCGGTGAATACGTCAACAGATGACAAGTTCCGTACAGTCCGCCGTGAGAGGACGAGGGGCCAGACCTGGAGATAAACTCTATTTTTGCTTTCATTCCTCTCCAACTTTTCTTTCAATAGCCATTGATAGAAAATCTATGAAAAAATGTCTTCTAAAGAGAGGAAACAGTAAGTGAAACATTAAGTTCAGAGTCATAACAAAGTAAGTGTTCAATGAATGTTTATTGGACGAATAAAAATGAACAGCAATAGTCTCTTCCCTCTATCCCTCTCAGAGACAGATCATAAACATCCCCTAATTCAACACCTTGCTTAAATCTCCGTGGGAAAAAGAGATCCATAATAAATAAAAACATTTTATCATTTAACTGGCACATCCCTGAACTCTCAGTTCTCCTGGTTTGGACATTTGGAACACAGGTGTCACACTGTCTGAAATATATCAATGGTTATTGTATTTAGAGAGGAACTGGATTTTCTCACTTCTGCTTTGAAGCTTCCTTTCTTCATGAGTCAGACGCAGAAATTTAATGCAATTAGAGATTACAGATAGGGTATTTCCAAGTACGAAATGCTTTGGCCCAGCAGCATGAAAACCTCTTAACTTCCCTTTCAAATGCCACTAGTCAAGTCCATGAAAATATCTTCAGAAGAATGAATGAAATTATTTGTTTTTACATATTTTAAGTGCACTTTTTATAAGAGCAAGATTAAGAAAATGTAAGAGAGCAGATTTCAGTGATATAGATAAAAGGAGAAACCCAGATAATCTTTCTGGCTTGATAAATTATTTACAGATACCGAGGTTTCTCTGCTCCATTTTCACAGAAAAATAGCATGGCTTTTTTCTTTTCTTCTCTTTCCTGTTTTCTTTCTTTCTTATATTACAAAATTAAGTAAAAATATTGGGAAAATTTTATTTTAGGAAAAAATAGAAAACGTGGATAAAAAAGATCTATAGGAGAAAAAAGATCCATAAACTCATAATTCAGAGGTAATATTTTTGTATATATGTACTTCTAGTCATATCCATAAATTCAAAATTTTCTAGACAGCATATAAAATATTATATTATAAATCTTTGCACGTCAGTGCATTTGTTTCTGTAAGTTTTAATCGCTGCATAGTATTCCATCGACTCTATACACCATAACTTATGTAATCAATTTGCTACTGTAATGATGTGGTCATCATCTTACAGCTGAATCTTTGTGCACATTCTTAATTATTTAGCATGGCCTAATGTGAATTTTAAAAATGAAGAGCATGTAAATCAATAGTCTAGTGACTTCATTTGTGAACTCAGTTTCATGCAGCTTTAAAAAGCACTGTCTTCATTTTTCTCTAATAACATAATTGTAAAAAATTTAAACACAGAGTAAGTGAAAGCTCCTGTCATTCTATCTTTCGTGGATAACCACTCCTAAGAGATTTTATTATGACCATTTTCAAACACATAGCAAAGATGGAAGAATCTTAGAGTGAATGCTCCTGTACCCTCCATCTAGATTCCACCACTAACAACTTACTACACTTCGTTTATCACACTTCTATCCATCCATCCATTTATAAGTCCACCTTCTTTTTTTATGGCAATACAGTTTCGATTTAGAGGAGGAAGAATAAGAACAACAAAGAAGAGGAGGAGTGGGGAGTCAGAGGCAAAAGAGAAAAGTGCTTCTGAGCCCTTGGGGGAGCCTGAGTCACAAACGGTGCTGCTGAAGGAGCACAGGAGCAAGATGAGCACAGGCACTTCCGTCTCTGCTGCTCGTGAGTCGAGCGCTTCTCAGCCAAGGACTTTCACAAAAGAAAGTCAAAAGGAATTATCACTTGCTAAGAATAAGGAAATAATAAAAGAAAATTTATTAAATGGAACATCTAATAGCAAGTTCTCTACCGTATTTCTATTAGATGTTTAGAATTACCTAACTTTCTTAGGTCTGTTTTAAAAGCAGATGTTGATAAAGATCTGCTTTTCTTGCTAGGAGCGCATCTTTGCATGTAAAGAATCCACGCTGAAATGAAGGTTGCAGGCACAGAGGTACTTTTCAGGGTTGTGTTTAAGTAGAGAGACTATTAAGCTGCACGTAATATTCATGGATTGAGATAAAAATATAGTAGCAAGATGTGCAGACGCTTTATGGAAAAACTGCCTCTAATAAAGCATTCTTCCTCCCCATTCCAGTTTTATAAATATTATGAAGCTCCTGGAAACAGGAACAGGATCTCAAATACACTGAACAAGGTAAGAAAGTGGTTATTTTGAGATATAGTATTAATTTAAAAATCAAATCCTACTTTCTATTTATAACCAATATTCTTGTGCCTAAGACACCATTTACAATCATAAATTGTAATCTATTTTTAGCTTGACTTAAAATGATGGTTCTTTAGGTGTCATCACGGAAAAAAAAAACCCAAGAATCAAATGTTTTAATACAAATGATCTCATTTGTTTTGTGATGTAATTCTACCACAATGGAGTCTTTTTCTCGTCTAATTCGAATTATGAGGAAACTGATTATTTAGACAACTTCAATGTTGTTTGCATTGCCCAAAAAGAAAGTACAAGGGCAAAAGAGCAAATTTTTAAGCTAAGGAAGAGCCATACTAAAACACAGCATTTTTGATCAGTCCAAAGCTTCAAGTAAGGCAAAAAAAAAAAAAAAAACCCCAAAACAAAAAAACAAACCATGGATGGAAAATGTGCACATGTGCAGCCAGGACACCTCAGTCTAGTAAACTATGCTCAAGATCAGGCAGCTCTCTTCGTGTTTTGTTTCTTAGTCTGAAGCAAAAGTACCTTGAATGTTGTAATTTACTGGTGGAAGGAGAATGGTTGGGTGCTTCGATATACAGAGTTCTTTACCACAGATTCATTTGCTGTTTTGTTTTCAAAGTATTTCCTTGAGATGTAGCAGGCTAGGCACATTCCGTGAATTTTTAAAAAATATAATTAAAGATGGAGACGAAGAAAAAGGCTTAAACTAATGGTTTAGAGATTTTAAAAACATTTGTTTTGTTTGGAAAGCTATAAAATCAAGAGAGCAAGAGTAAATTTCTTCAACAGAGATGGATGTAGTAGAGATGTTCTCTTCTAGAGAAGGTGCAAGACAACTGTCTATATGCTGAGGACAGTTTTCAAAGTGAGTAAGACAGAGTCTCTGTTCTTAAGGAGTTAAGGGGGTATCTAAGAAGAAGGTATGGGTGTTCATTACGTGCAAAGGTATGTTCGCTGAAGGTAAAGGACTAATTGAGACATCACAGAGGGCTTTACAGAGACTGGGGGCATTTCAGCTGAGTCTTTAAGGAGGAACAGAAACCTGCTAGATGGAATGGGCTAGGGAAAGCATGCTAAAAATGATACGGCATATTTAGGCGAAAACTGCAATTAGCTCATTTGTGCCTGAAAATGAGGACTGAAGGGGAAGTGGTAGAGCCTAAGGTAGACCTGAAAACATAGGCAGGGCCAGATGGGAAAGAGCATTGCTCGTTATTTTGCCTCTCTGTGCTCTAGAGAAAACATGGCCTTGCTTTAATATTTAATGTGCCTAGAGCTCCTTAGAGACAAGATCCATTTGAATAGATAGCACTGTTATTTTTACATTATTACAACAAAGGATGTTCTTTTATAATGCTAGCCTGCATCATTTTTATTCTGCAGAGAGTATATCCTCAAATTAAATAGGAGTATTAATAAAATTATCTGGAGCCTTCAACCTTAACAGATACTGATGTCATCAAGTGATTTAATTGAGAAAATGAATGAATTGAACTCACTGAATCTTTCTGAAGCCCACTGTGCTGGAGGGAGAAAGCCCTTGGGCTTCTATTGGCTCCTCCCTCTCTCCCCTCCCCAGGCTGGTCTTCCTGTGGTATACTCCTGAATGCCGTGCTCACCAGCCTCTTCCCCTGTGTGGCACAGCTCATTACCAAGCATGCTTTTCCTGGGCACCTTAATAGAGTCCCTTCCAAATCTACCCATTAAAATCTCTCTTCTTCGGGGCCAGCCTAGTGGTGTAGGGGTTAAGTGTGTGAGTTCTGCTTCCGGGGGCCCCGGGGTTCACTAGTTGGGATCCTGGGCGTGGACCTACTCACCCCTCATCAAGCCATGCTGAGGCAGCATCCCACATAGAAGAACTAGAAGGACCTACAACTATGACATAGAACTATCTACTGAGGCTTTGGGGAGAAAAAAAGGAAAAAAGGACAAAGATTGGCAACAGATGTTAGCTCAGGGCCAATCTTCCTAAAAAAAAAAAATAAATAGAAAAGATAAATTAATTAAAAAAAAAAAAAACTCTTCTTTCCTGAAAATACCTTTAAAGGCTCCCCTCTGCCGTAAGAAAAAAATTTTGACTTCTTGGCAAGAAAACAAGGCCTTTAATGATTTGGGACCTATTAATTTGCCAACCGCATCTACTGTCATAAATATTGCCTATGTTCCAGCCTCTCTGGACAATGGGTAGTTCCTTGAATTTACTGTGGTCAGTGAGTTGGTGGCTCTATAAATCTGCTCCCTTTGCTTGAAACCTATTTTCTTCCTTTAGAACCTCAGGAGCTCCACCACCTTTCCTCACTCCTGGCTGCAATTACATGTATTATTTTGTAACAAATTTTTTAAAAAGACAAAAGAGAAAAATGTTACTTTTTCAAGTTCTTTGTTACTACCCAAAAGAACTAATCTTTTACACTATAAAGCCTGTTAGTGTCAAATTTTCTTATTATAAAATGATATCTAGGCATAATTCATTATAACAACTACCAAAAAGAATCATGAGCTGAAACGGCTCCTGTCTCCCTGAAATAGACACATATGATTTCTCCTGGAACTACATAAACTTGGGCCCAGGTAAATGCGGAGACGGACAGGGACATAACCTGTGCTCAGCACGAGTGTAATTTTCTCTG